TCGATATCGCGCTCATACCTTCTCGTGCCTCCTCGGCGGCAGCAGCATTCTCTCGATCCTCCAGATTCTCCGATACGTCCACTGTGTCATCCTTGCTGGAGAACGCGTTCGCCGGCGGAAGTCTGTGCACGGAAATCACCGCGGCATCCAAGGACTTGGCGCGTCGCTGAGCGGTAGGCGATTGCGTCGCGCCTTGACGTTGCAAAGCGCCAATTCCGCTACCTTCGGAAAGACCAAGACGCGCGCGAGCAAACAGTATCGGCGTTTGTCCCGGTTTACGTAACACTAACGGGGATTGAGTTAAATCTTGAGCAAGCGCGGTTTTCTTCGCGCTGTCTTTCGTTGGTTCCTTGGTTAATAATTCCTTGACCGGCTCTTTGGATTCATCCGTTACTACAGTCCGTTTAGTCTCTGCCGGCTGATCGATCACAACGTCAGGTTTAACACACGGTTTAGAATCTTTCTCCAACTTAGGCTGTTTCGACTCATTAGCCTCTTCACTAGTCGCTTCTACTTTCGATGCTACTTTGCCGCGCGTTGATTTCGAGTCCTGCTTCGATACTGCGTCCCTCGCAATGGCAGATTTACTTTCGGCTTTTGAATCCGCCTTGGCGGCAGCTTTAGATATGATAGTCCTCTTTGGAGATATTTTTTCTACTGAATCTTTTTTCTCCGTACTTCCTAAACTCTTTGATATTCCCAGTGATTTCGGTCTGGATTTTTCGGATTTTATCGTGCCTTTAATTAATTCATCGTCGACTGATGCGGATTTCGCACGAGTACTCTTCGTCTCTTCCTTGTCGTCCTTCGACGTCGAAAATGGTTTGTCAGATAATCTGGTTACGGATTTTGATCTACCTTTTTGAACGATGCTTATCTCTGGCGCTACATCAGTCGAATCGATTATTATAATCTCCTGCGGCATTTCGCCGAGCTTTAATTTAGATTTATCAATTTTTGTACTCACCACCGGTGCACGCGACTCCTTCGACGCGGTCTTCTTCAGTGGTGGCTTGTCACCCTCCAATGATTTTGATTGTTTCTTGAAGTCCTTTTTCGGCTCCGATTTCACTTTTTTCACCCTTTTCGGAGAGACGTCCTGCACGAAATGCTTATTTTCGACCTCCGGCGAAAGCAATGTGTCGATCGGTGCTTTCTCTTCCGCCAGAGACAGGGACTTCGATCTTAATGGTTCTGCGTGCGGTCTCAACAAGAAAGGAACGAATTCAGGAACTTTAAGACTATCCAACTCTAAAGCAGGTTTCACAGGCACTTCGTCCAAAGGCAAATCGGCGACTGGATCCACAAAATCGTCAAATCCTGTATCGATGATCTTGGGTCTCGATATTTTTGTAGCGGAATTTTTACTAACTTCTGAGAACTTTGATTCTATTCTCTCCAAAATACGTTTCGTCTTCTCGGGAATGCTTGGCTTTTCCAATGTTTTTGGTTTCTCCGGAATCGGTGGTTTTTTCGTTTTTATTTCCGCCGCAGCTGATATGTGAACTTCAGCTATAACGGACTGTACGTTCTCTTTCCTTTGATCATCGTCGGACAAGTCATCGACGGTTCGTTTTAATGAATGGACCAATTCTTTGAGCATTGCTTGTTGAATTTTCCCGATAACTTGGTTATCGGGCGTCATTTTCTCTATGTCATCCACTTTTCCATCGCCAGGAATTTCCGGTAACGGTATCTTCTCGATGCTATCTTGTTTCTCTAAACTATCGTCCGGCGCCTTCAGACTATCTTTTTCAAGTTTCGCTTTGCGTTCCAGATTTTGCTTCATTTCCATGCCGACAACGTCGGCAAAATTCAAAGCGGCTTTTGATTTAGCATCTGCTGTTTTTGCAACGTTAGTAGGACTTCTGGGCGCTCCATCTATAGATTTCTTCTTCTGTATTACGGAAATAATAGTTACGTTAGAATCGGTTGGTGATTTCTTGGGCGAACGTTTTTCGAGTGCTGATATAATGGTAACGTTCGGTTCGACCGGAGATAATTTCGAAGGCTTTTTATCTAAACTAGAAGATTTCTTACACGTGTAATCCTCGTTGATGATGACCTCCGTCCTGTTTCTGTCTAACGAACCGCCCTTCTGCGAAAGCTTATCGGGAGATTGAGTTTTCGCATTCGCCTTCGAAGGACTTCTGTTTGTAGGCGATAAACTGCAAATAATACTCTTTGGATCCGTGGGCGATGTTGGACTTAAAATACTCTTCGGCTTATCCGATGGACTCAATATAGATTTTGGTCTTGCGGCGGTAATCGCGCCGCTTTTCGGTTTATCCGGGGATAGTTTACTGTTAGTCTTATCTATCGAGGAAAGCTTGGTTAAATCAAAGTACGAAATGTCTGTTATAATTTTCAACGGCAGCTTCGGCAAGTCCTTGGTGGTACTCTTGATATTCCTTGAAGTCTTGCTGCTATCCGATTCGGATTTCTCATCGGACGCCGTACCGTTCATAACATGTCTTTTGTGCAATGTGTATGGTATATCAACATTGGTCTTCTGCACTGTCGCCGCGCTATCTGAAAACGGTTCTTCATCGCCGGAATCGGCGGGAGTCAGATCTATGGATTTTTGATGCATCAACATATGTCGTTTGCTGTTGGATCCTAATCTCTGTCGCGCCGGATTTGGATCGCTCTTCGTACGTTCCACCGGTATGTGACCGGGCAACGCGGTCTCTTCGAAACCCAGCACGACGCCGCCGACAACCTTCGGCTCGTACTCGGCGAACACGGCTTTCGGCTTTAAATTCTCCATCTCGTGTGGCACGCCGATGACAGTCTCTGTACGAGATTCGAGGGACAGTTTCACTTGCCGTTCGCGTTCTCGTCTCTCATTGTCCTTCCGCGCTTTCTCCAAGCTCCTCCAATCATCGCGCTCCCGCGGTTTCTCCTCCGATTTTTCAGGTTTGCTCCTGCTCCTTTTTTGATCTTTACATTCCATCTTCTCAATATTCTTTCTGCGTTCAGCGTTATCGAAATCCAGGCACTCGAGGCTTCTTCCCTCCCGCGATTCCAAGCGCCCTAAATATTTTCGCTCCCGCGAATCCAGCTTTTCTAGACTTTTTCGCTCGGCGCTTCTCGATTCGGCCTTTCTTTCATAAATTCGATCTCTTTGCTCGTAACGTTCCAACGATTTTAAACGTTCGATCGTTCGCGGATCAAAGTCGAACTTTTGAGAATCCAGCCTCTCTATGCTCATTCTTCGTTGTTCCTTCGGAGTTAACCGCTCAAACGGACTTCTATTGCCAGAATCAAAACGTTCTAAAGTATGCCTCTCGTAATCAATAGAAGCCGCTCTGCTTTTTCTAGATTCTCGAGAATCGATCCGATCGATACTTCTTTCCCTGCGCTCTCGCGTATCTGAATGCCGATGAGTGCTCTTCTCCTTAGGACTTCTCTCCTTAGGACTTCTCTCCTTAGGACTCCTCTCCTTAGGACTCCTCTCCTTAGGACTCCTTTCCTTAGGACTCCTCAGATACTCCATGCTGCTGCGCAGCCCTTGAGAGTCTAAACGATCGACGCTCTTTCCGCGTGATCTGCGCTCTTTCCGCGTGATTCGTAAAAATCATTGTAATAAAAGGCACTCTTTTCCCTCGAGTCCAAGTGCTCGTAGCTTTTCTCGCGCACATCGAGCCGCTCGATGCTCCTACGTAATTCGCGCATATCGATCCGATCTATACTGCGACGACCGTGACTGTCCGATTTCCGCGAATCGCGCGAATCGAGTCGATCCATGGACCGACGCTCCCGAGAATCGCTTTTATCGATTCGCCTAGAATCCCTCGAATAGTCCCTCTCAATTCGTTTTCGCTCCTCCCTTTCGATGCTCCTACGCTCTTTCGACAACACTTTCTCGACCTTAATGTCAGAATCTCGCGATTTTCTATCCCTAGATTTATGTCCACGACCTAAGCTACCTGTCTCGACGTACATCCGTGGCGGGTGATCATCCAAGCTAGCGATACTGCGTGCTCTGGTCGTCCTACCTTTCGCGCCATGATCTAACACGGTTCTACCATTCCCATCAACCGGGCTCAGATCGTCGTCTATTCGCGATTTCGGACGCATAATACCCTCGTCTCGCAAGACTTCCGAATCTACGTGAGTGATCTTGTACTTTGGTTTCAAGTTCTTCAATTCGTTGAGAACGGAAATCTTTTGCTTTTGCACCTGCAATATTACGGGATCTTTTCTGGCCGAGTCTTGATGCGGAATAGCCGTCTTGGACGACTGTTCCACAGAATTAGCGTGTCTCATCTCAAACTTGCGTTCTATTTGAGTGCACGACCGTTGTATCCTGGATTCAGTGATCACATAATCACCGTCTGGCTTGGATATAGCTGAGTACCGATCGATGGACTTGGCTTTACTGTTCTTAAGATCAGTTAGCGCGGATTTGTATTGTTGTCTCTCAGAAGGTTTCAACGATCTATGCTTGACGAAGGAATCGGTCTCGGAATCCATTTGGAACATCTCGTGCTCGATTCCTTCGTCGCTCTGATCGGATATCGGTTCGTCGTGCGGACTGGAATACGATTCCGGATACTCGAATTCGTGCTCGCGTTCCAAAAGCTCGTAAGAATCGTGCGAGAGATCGTCGTGCGATAGATCTCCAGCGGGACCCGATTCCTCATGACCCGATTCGGTAGACAACGACGACGTTCCCGGGTAGGAACTGCTGTAGACACGCTCGGGAACAGAGTCGTGATCTAAAGAAGGTAATTTCGAACTAGCGGCGCTATACGAACGATTACTCTCGTCGTAACGTGTTACGGGGTTATCTAGTTCACCTTGCGAAGCTAATTGGAATGGGTCTAATGGCGGTTCCGCGGTGATCTTATCGTCCCGCGGTCGCGCTTTACCGGAGTCCTCGAAACTAGAAGCGTACAATTCGCGACAACTAGCCGACCGTTGCCAGGGGTGTCTGGGCTGAGGTCGTGGTGGTGGGAATTCGGGGGGACTGCTGTTAGAGGGGCTGATACGACCTGTTGATGAAATCCGTTGTTGACTGGTAGCATGCATCTGCCGCGGTGCTGGGACCTGGCTGGGGGTGGCTGGCGAATGGACGTCGATAGAGGTAAGCGTCCGAAACGATGTAGCTGTGTCTTCTCGACGGTGAATCGTCCCGCCCATCGAGACACTCGTCACAGTCGTCGGAGAATCCAGTGTCATCGAGCCGCATGACAGAGACAGAGCTGGGGTTGCCAGGGCTGAAAAGATCGCGCGTGCTATATAAATCTCTCTCGCTTTCCCGACATATCTTTCGCATAAAGAACCTTAGCGCGTAATTCTCATTATGTGATTACATATCTGTCATAATTATTATACTAATACTACTACCTCTTTTAATAATGTAATATACTTTACACAGAAATATTTTTTATATTTTTATTAAAGACTGTTAATGTTACTTTGACACCCTTCGTGGTATCAAAACTAATCGATATTCAATTATATTTTTAGTTTTCTGTATAAAACTGATGTAATGTCATAAATATTTTAATTTCATATTCCGAGCGCGCATAGTTTAAAAATTGTTTTAATGTGCAATTATTAACGAAATGTAATTGTAATCGCAAATCTTTACGTATGATTATATTCCTTTACAATTTTTTCTTTACATATACATATAATTTTTACAAACATCATAAATCTCTTACGCACAAAGGTCATTTAAAAACAATCTATTTAAGATACGCTAATCTACTCTACTATTACAGTACTTCAGTTATGATACGGTGAAAAGAAATGAGGCTAGAAACAGGTGGACAGAAATAGAGAGAGCCAAAGGGCGGAGAAATTAAAAATAAAGCGTTTGTTGTGGAGGTTGGTGTCGGTCATGGTACATACCAGGATCGCCGAGGGGCAGGAGGGGGTGGGCAGAGATGCTGGAGCTGCCCATAAGGGAGCTGCTTGGAGTGGCCCCACGATAGCCTCCCCCCTCCGAGCCCTGCAATGCCCTACCACCGCTAGTCTGCCGGAACGAATTGGACCTGCGAGCAAGAGAGAGTCAAGTTCAGCATCAGACTTAGGCTATCAAATGCCAAGCCTGTTCGGAACTAACTTATCCCTTTTTCTCTTTTTTTTTTTCTCCTTAACGAGATCGCAAAGTAACACTAAAAAAGAAAAAGAAAAAAGAAAAAAAAAGGTAATAGCTTCCGTCGACTAAGCAACGGTATATGACGCGAGGAACTGTGAGAAAGATATCGATCTTCCTGCTAACCCACGTATTGAAATATGCGATGCGATAAATAAAAATAGATTACATTTCTGATACGATACACGGTCAACATCGCCGTTAAATAGCCGATTTTTTAATACAATGTAGTTATATCGCTGTCGATGGAACATGATTAGAGTCTCACTCATTATATGTTCTATGTATTTTCAACTATAAAAATATAACAAGATACAACAATTAAATGTGTATTTTAAATGTGTAAAAATATAATAAACTATATATTACTAATAAATCATTGGGATATCATGAGTGCAAAGGAGAATTGTGCACCACCATTGAACAAATTTGGGAATAGTAATAAGACAGAAATTATTTTTAATGGAGTACAAAATTGTAGCATATGTAAAAGAGAAGGCTGTCTTATGTTTATAAATGTCATACGAAATACATCTTGGAGATATTAATCAATATAAAAATCCTTGTGTTAAAATATTTGCGTTTTCTCGCAAATAGAACCATACGTGCAATATAATTATGTGAAATATACAAGAAGTATATCTTGCATATCCAGAAGCATAAATAAATACAAATAAGAGTGCACTTTTAAAATAAATATATCCAATGTCATTTTTAAAATTTAATGCATTCAACTTTTGCAATAGTATATTATTGTTTATAGGAAAGAATGTCAAATTTTGTACTCCTATACACCCTACACAATTATTGTTTCTGAGGATAAAAATCCAAAGATGTGCGATAGGCATAATATAAAAATATTATCTCAATATACACAGATCTTTTCAGCAAAATTGATATATCATTAATGTAAAAATATACTGGCTACTTTAACTTTTGTAATTAAATTTAATATTACTCATCTTGTATTCCTCACTTTATCAATTAATATGTTTCCATGATATGTAAGAAGGCGTTTCTCAACCGTGCATCGATATCGCACAGCAAATGAAAATCTACCGGCAATATGTACAAGAATAACTTTCCTTTTTTCGAGAATATATTAATAATAGGTTAAAAAACTTCTATTTTAGAACAGTCTACTGCTATGGACAAGTATCTTGTTGGATAGAACTGTTTTATAGGATATTATAGTGAAGTATGGTACTTTGCTGTGTATTATCAGATACAACAATAAATAATTAGTGATCACGCTATTGAGAGGGTACACTCATCATTCGGGTTTATCGTGCCTGATGGTGAGCCTGACTCCCCGCCACCCCTGTCCGAGCAGGCAACACTGACAAACGGAAATATAAAAACTTGGAAACAGTTTCCGCTATGGAAATTGTGGATGTTCGTGGATAATACATGTATATATATATATATATAACAAATACCGATTCCGGCAAAAGCAAGACCGTGCCACCTCCTATCTTAACCACACAAAATTGATGCGTTCATTAATTAAAGACTTCAATGGTACAAACCAACATATTAGGGGGGAAACAGTACGCAATATACATGCACTACCTACATATTACATGGGGGATATCCAAAGACTTTTAATTGTTCAACACAGCTTTCGATCTCTTGGAACAACTTACCTTTGAAATGTCTGCCTCTTCACATAATTGTCCCGAACAAATTCGACAATCTGTTTCTGAGTTTTGCCACTATACCTGGTAATATGAACAACAGAAATCTTTTTTACTATTTTATAATAATCTTAAATGTATTTTAAAGCATTGTAATTTTTTTTAAACATTTTTTCTTACACATATACAATGACACTTTAAAGATCTTTAAAAAAGTCATATATTTAAAAATAAAATGATTTAAACATACTATGTGATTTATATTAAGAGATTGTAATTTGATATACCTGAATGATGATCCACGGCTAAGCACTCTAGTTTTCTGCCTCACGACTCTCTTAACTACAGAGCAACGGAAAAAACCATGGTTTTCTACACACTTTTTCCAAAAGTTTTTACACTCATTACGTCCCTCAAAGAAAAACTCGACTGTATCCTTATAATAACCCTATAAAAAATAAAACAAGTAAAGTAGTTGTATTGCAATGGATACATCATACTTAAATTCATAATAATGTAAAGATAAAAATTTATTTTTAAGCTTAATTAAAGATTCCAAATACTTACATAACCCTCAGGATGCAATTTGATTAGAAAGCGTTTTCGTTTGAAACTGATTTTTCTGATTTTGGCCCAACTAAATGTATTTATCTTAGTATAATTTTGAAAAACTACAATGCCCATATGTGCTACTGCAAGATTCAGTGGAACGTTTTCATGATCCTAGCAAAGAACAAGAATATATAAGGATAAATTAGTTTTACATATACACAAAATATATATATAATATATACTCGCTCTGAGTAAAGACCAGCGAATTGCAGATCGCATTGTCGCGAGTATCGCGCCTTCGATCTATGGACACGAGAATATTAAAAGAGCTTTGGCACTGACAATATTCGGTGGCGAACCAAAAAATCCTGGTACTTATTTTGAATTTCAATCATTTTATAAATCTGAAGATATGCTCTCTTTCATTGTTTATATTGAATATTGCAATATGCAGGCAACAAGCATAAGGTTCGCGGTGACATAAATGTCCTGTTGTGCGGAGATCCTGGCACTGCTAAATCGCAGTTTTTGAAATATGTGGAAAAGGTGGCACCTAGAGTGGTTTTCACGACAGGTCAAGGTGCTTCGGCTGTTGGTTTGACTGCTTATGTAAGGAGATCGCCCGTCAGTAAAGAATGGACCTTAGAAGCTGGAGCTTTGGTCCTTGCCGATCACGGAATATGTCTCATCGATGAATTCGACAAAGTACATATTTATATAATTTATATATAACTATAGTAACATATATGTATGTTAGTATAAAAAAATATATTGATAATATAAATATCAATGTAAATATTTTAATAATTATTGTCAATAATTATTATTAATAATTAACATTTATAATTTTAATATAATATCAATATAGATTATTTATTTTAATATATAGGCATACATTGCACATATATATATGTATGTATATGTATATAATGTACAAATTTTTTGTTTTTTGTTATTAAACTTACCTTAGCTGGATGCATTTTCATTCCGTACAGTTCGCAACGTCGAGCTGTCTCTAAGAGATTGAGATCTGCCTCTGCAGGAGATTGGCCTCTGTTAACATTAAAACCATGTACATTTCAGGCAAACCCGACATTAATAGAACATTACTTATTACATTAAAATATATGTCTCTTACGCATGTTTTTTGTGATTCTCCATGATACGTCGTTCCAATTCTTGATCCTGATGAGGCACAAATTTATATGTCGATAAATATGTATGATCCGGGTAATCTTCTATCACATAGTCTCCGCATTCAGCTACAAGAAAGAAAATAGTACTGTGCTCAAGAAAGTAGATTATAAAATCTCAACAAATAACACAACTAAGCTTATAGATTATAAGAATTTTAACAGCGGAAGAAATAACAATGATGTAATTACCCTGAACTATATAACTGGCCATCAATGCTGCTGTGTTATCATTGCATTGCAATAAACCTAGAGATAAATCCCGTTTTATTTGTAGACAGAATAAATATCTTGTAAACTCTTCCTCGAGTTGTGCAGGATCCGGCGTATAAAATTTAACACAGAACCTCAATAGAGGATCAATTAGAGATAAGCCAACTTGTCTGCACACTGGTTTCTCCAAATCTAACCAATACTGTAAATATTGCAATCTTTAATTTCACTGCCCGTTGAAAAAAAGCATTAAGAGATTAAACCAAAAATTATACATCTTACTTTTGTTAAATTTGGTTCTTGATACTCGAGACCAAAATAATCTGCTTCTAAAAGGTGCAATTGCTTACAAACTTGATCAAACAACACTCTACCTAGTGCTTTGGCCTGAAAATTTTAAATAATAAAATTTATACAATGTGATAAATTATTGTGATTTGTAGACAGAATAAATATCTTGTAAACTCTTCCTCGAGTTGTGCAGGATCCGGCGTATAAAATTTAACACAGAACCTCAATAGAGGATCAATTAGAGATAAGCCAACTTGTCTGCACACTGGTTTCTCCAAATCTAACCAATACTGTAAATATTGCAATCTTTAATTTCACTGCCCGTTGAAAAAAAGCATTAAGAGATTAAACCAAAAATTATACATCTTACTTTTGTTAAATTTGGTTCTTGATACTCGAGACCAAAATAATCTGCTTCTAAAAGGTGCAATTGCTTACAAACTTGATCAAACAACACTCTACCTAGTGCTTTGGCCTGAAAATTTTAAATAATAAAATTTATACAATGTGATAAATTATTGTAATCTTTAATACAATTAACTTGTTAAGTCATAAAATTCTTAAATATTATTAATATATCCTTATTTTATTATGTTTTTATAAATAACTTGATTGTTTTGATATCAGAAATATATTCCTGCTATGTAATTATATAAAAACATGTATATTTAAATATATATATGTCATACAAATAATATGAATTAAGATTATACAATTAAATGCTATAAATGTAGATTGAATAATCTTATCAATTTCATTGCAAAAAGCTAAGATGCTGGGGAACAAAATTAATCTCCGAAGAAACTAGCAACACGTTGCAAGCATTGTAAATAAATAATCAATAAATGAGTTTACACATATATCACACACAAGAATCCCCCATTTGATACATTATATGCTCCAGTAGCTCATTCTTCTGGAAATATATGCATACACTACAGAGCGCACATAGTATATAAGCATCTTGCCAATATATATATATATATATATATATATATATATATATATATATATATATATATATATATATATATATATATATATATATATATATATATATATATATATATATATATATATATATATATATATATATATATATATATATATATATATATATATATATATATATATATATATATATTGGCAAGATGCTTATATACTATGTGCGCTCTGTAGTGTATGCATATATTTCCAGAAGAATGAGCTACTGGAGCATATAATGTATCAAATGGGGGATTCTTGTGTGTGATATATGTGTAAACTCATTTATTGATTATTTATTTACAATGCTTGCAACGTGTTGCTAGTTTCTTCGGAGATTAATTTTGTTCCCCAGCATCTTAGCTTTTTGCAATGAAATTGATAAGATTATTCAATCTACATGATTATATATATATATATAATTATAAGATTGTAAAAAATTTTTGAAAGAGTGAAGTGACCAGTTTATTAATATTTTAGTGTATAAATAAAATTATAAAACTCTGTATTATCGAAATTATAAATTAAGAAATGTTCCAAAATAATATAAAAGTGAAAATCTCGCGTATCGGAATTCTAAGTTAAATAGCTTTACAGACAGGATTCTAAGAGGCTTTGTAATCAATGACTCTTGACCTGGATGCACGAAGTAAATAGTTTAATATATGCCTACGCAGCAAATATAGGCTGATGAACATATTAATACACATACAGACTTCTTGATTACATAAAAAAATATAAACGATTATAAACAGCAAAGCTCATAGAAGTGTAATGAAATATATTAAATAATACATATTAGGTATATATTTTATAAAGATTATATAAAAAAAAAAGAAGATATATAAGTTTAGATTAGATTATTTAATGATGTTCTATGATGAATATTTTAATACATAAAGAAAGAATACATAGAAAGATGCATAACACAGATATATAATAGCTTACAGCTATAAATGCAATAATACACACATTCAATTGCTACATACTATAGAATTATAAAGGTACAATAAGATATTCAAGCATCATTTAATATCATTTTAGTGCTTATTCTTCCGTTATTATTCTCTATAGAGTATAAGAGAAGTTGTCTTTTTTATAAATATTATAAACAATAATTATTCTATATATAGCTCACACATATTTTATAAATAATGCATATAAAGGCTTTAGAAAAATAACAAATTAAACCACATAAAGAAAGGTTGCAGAATATCCTTAACTCATATATATTCAAGAGTTCCATCAAAGAGAGTATAAAAAGACTTGTATTTTTTTCTATAGATTTCTATTAGAAAATTTAAAACAACTTATAAAATTTTAACAAAGGAGTATCGAATCTTATTAGTGACTATCTTTGTGAGGTCAATTGTATAATTTTCTTCATATGTCTTAGTATGTGTAGCAAGCAATTGAAATAAATGTGCAATATAAGAAAATTATTTAAAAATAAAATAAGTATTCATTTACCTGCACTTGAAACATTGTAATAGAGTCATCCAACATCTGTACACGAACCGCGAGCATTTTTCCAGCCTTCCGTGGTGTCGCAGGAGGTGTTCTACTACCTCCATCCACACCAGCTGGCGTCGAATGACTGTGAGGCATCTTTGAGCCTCCCTTCATGCCAAAACTGTCTATATCATTCATCTTGGATCATTTACTTTGTTTTACGAAGCAATTGTTTAGTGCGTGCTTTCTCAAAGAGTACAATCAATAAATCTGTATTATGTCATCATCTGTAATAAAAGAATCATGGAATAAAAGATTATTATATTTATATGTACAATAAAAGTTGAGCCAAAAGGAAAGACAAAGTTAATCTTCAGTAAATTGTGGACAGTACAAAATGATAAGAATAATAAATTGAAAATTTTTTTATATCAGAAAACTTGTCAAATGATCTTTATATTTGAACAAGCCTTGAATGAACTATATTAGACAATATATATATATATATATAAAGTCTCGCGACCGAAACTCGACTCCAGACACGCGCACGCCAAGATATCCGCTACCGCGATACGCGACGCAAGCTTACGTGCGGGAACTTTGTAATTAAGCCAATTTACGGACAATATATATATATATATATATATATATATATAATAGGATTATTATATCTGGGAAATATATATAAAGCTTAATCAAACATTTTAAAAATGACATATTATTAGCGACTAGAAATGAAGGATATCTATAAAAACAAAAAACTCACATTCTCCAATTAATTATCTTCATAAATGCTCAGATTAGAAAAAATACCGTTCTACTTACCTAATACCTATCGTACGACTTGTACGATCATTCTCAGATAAAGAAACAGAAAGAATATAGGAAAAAACAAAAAGATCTAAGTAAACGAACACAAGATAAAATCCAATTTTAGTTTCATTCCGAATCTTGCGGAGAATGTGAGTTTTTATGTCACTCGATTTTCCGCTATCATCGTCACGTCTCTTCGAAACCATTCATTCTTTGTTTCTAACGAAACGCGCAGAAACACGGAGGAGTGTCTCGGAGGGAAGCGGAACGTGTTTTAACGATATTACGTATTAGAAAAATCGTCGCCGCGCGAGAAGGTCCCCCGATCGTTTCCGGTTCGAGTTTTGCGCGTCGCCCGCGTTTCGCGCCCGCGAGAAATTACGAGGACGCGCCGCGCCGCGCCGCGTCGACTGCTCGCTCGCGCGTCCCGCGATTAATCCTGATCGTCCGACCAAGAGGAAAGAGAGAGAGAGAGAGAGAGAGAGGAGAGGACACGGACGAGCGAGCGGATGCGAACGGGAAGAGGCGCGGGGGGGAGCGAGAAGCGTTAAATGAAGCGGGCTAACCGATTGGCTCCGAACAAAAGGGTTGAAAAACGCTCGCTGATCCAACTGACGTAAGATCGCAAAGAGCGGAAAGGAGTAACCGAGTAACATGGGAAGGGGGGGGACGGCGGGGGAAGGGGAGGAGGAGGATGCGTTTAACGCGTGCACGCGTTACACCGTCGCCCGCGCACGTCCGTATGTGCGTGGTCGTCGTGCATAATTGCGAGTTTCTCGCGACGTACCGAAAATGGAAGTCGATGGATGATAGTCGTCATCGTCTTCGTCGCGAGGAGAGAAAGAATACGTCGGGAACGGGTAGAGAAAGAGAGAGAAAGAGAAAGAAAGAGAGAGAGAGAGAAAGGAGCGATTTATTATCGTTCGTATGTACGTACGTTTGCCGGGCCATCGTTGCGTGCGTGTCCCGCCGTCTCTCCTCGACACACGCGACTCAACCAGAGTTCATTGATCACCCACCGAGAACCACCGCGCCGCACCGCTCTCTGCGATCCGCCGGCCGCTTCCTTCCGCGTCTCGTTCTCCTCGCACGAAAGCGACGAGAGCGTCCGCGTTTAATAATGGGCGGCGGTGCCCGCCGATCTCTTCGCGGCGCCGCCCGACGTAGGTGCGGCGACGTGTGCGCGACGATGCTCGACCATCGAGCGCATACAACGAGAGCCCCGAATCGGAGACATATCACTCACGCGCGCACGCACAGATAGAACACGCACAAACGCACACACACACACGCGCGCGCGCGCGCGCGTGTACTCGGCGACGGGGACAACCGACGAGACGGGTCTCCTCCGTTCTCCGTTCACGATCACAGCGCGAATACGGGATACCAGTGGTGCTCAATTTTTTTTCCCCTTCCGAGCAAGCGTTTCTTACGTCGCGTCGCGTTTCCTTCTCCGTGTGCGATCGCGCCCAGTCGCGCCGCGACGTAGGGCCGGTCTGTTCGTCTATCGAGGGCGCGATGTACGAAGGGCGGTGGCACCGGTCGTACGACGCCGCTCGAGACGACATCTGTCGGCTGTCTCGGTCAATAACTTCGTTTAAAAACAGCTGTGGATAAATTCCACGAATTATCGAGCGGTGACGTTACCGACCACGTTTATCATCGGTCGATATAATCACTGACGACGTTATCGACGACAGGAATTTTATACTAGTCGAGTAATCTACTATCGGTTGCCTATAGTTATGCTTGGTGACACTAGATACAGCGCGAGGATGCTTGAAATTATTGTTACATATCCTACACAAAGCACACTACCCATACAGCACAGATCATTGCAATTATATTGCAGCAACATTGCAATGTCGCAAATTGCAATGCAACATTACAAAGACATTGCAGAAATATAGAGCCACAAAGTACCAGCACACTTGTAGCAACATGACATTAATATTTCGGAAATATTGCAAAATTCAATTTTTATATAATTTTAATAATAAAATATTATAATAAAATAATTTTTTGCAATATTTCTACATGAAAGATGTTAACGATAAACAATACTAAATGGTTCATTTTATTAAAACATTTTTCTTAAATTGGCTTATATTGCTGCACTGTATGCTTTGCGCAGCACATGTACGCGTTCGCAATTGTGTGCGTGTGTAGTAGGCGCCGGTCTTGCTGCACATATCTGTGATTGTCGTGTATTTCGTGATTAACATTTTTTATTGTTGCGTACGAGAAAAGGTAAGAACTTTTTGATAATATTATGTTTTATTATAGCAACCTATATATATTATGTATTAATTAATCATAATAGAATAGCATGTCCTAAGGTTAATAACCTAGGTTAATAACCTTAAAATTATTGAGATCGCAAAAGTAAAAATTATATTTATCTATGATATATGTTCGTATATTTTTTATGTGGATATTTTTTGCTTTCTCTAATTTTCTATTTTGCTGTAGATATGAACTTTAAAATATTTGATAAAAATATTTATGTATATTTGCAGTATGTATATTTTTATGCAAATATGAATTTTAACTCCTATTTTATTTTTACAGACATTTAACAAAGGAAAACAATAATGGACAAAATTCAATAAATTATTAATGGTAATAAAAGCGCCGCGTAAAGCTGAACCATTTTTATATATATCTCTAATATAAAAAAAAATATATTTTTATTTCGTGAACATGTTAAGTGCAATAATATGTTATGTGCAATGTTATGTTATTTATGTTGCAATATTGCGGTGAAAGATTGCTACAATATGTATGCAATCTTTGTGTGCTGTATGGGTATTGTTTTCTTTTATTCACGCAGTTCTTATGATTGATGGATGAGAGTTCGCAAGCTATACTCGGAGAGGAGTGAATTAATAATCAGAATCTTCGATTAATGTCAAGTAAGTATAAACTTCACTTTAATGCCATTGAAGTAATAAAATGCAACCGCTATACGCGATAAAGGATAAGAATACGTGAATAGCATACACAATGACTGTATATAGATATATATATATAGCAGCAGTTTTATTTATATATACATTTTCTTATAAGTATTTTATTTAATAATCATCTGAGTTATATAATATACATGTAAAATTTTTCCTTGCGTATTTCACTGTGGCTGCCATAGACTGACAAGAGCGCCTGAATTTAAATGAGAAAGTCATTTATATTCGCGCACCGACGTGTCCCTACAACTCCCTACCGTTGTAACGCGTAATTCTTTTTTCTCTCTTCGTAGCGCGTGATACACACCAGCTAAAGATACTCTCTGCCGTCTATAGTTATCTTTTTCTAACAGCGTTCGCGCGCCCATTAATATTCGTGGCTTCGCGCGCGACTCCGTGTGATTACCTCCGTAGATTACAAATAGGTGCACAGAAGACTAAACAGCTTGAGACGGTACGATTGGATACGCTTATATTTCGTATCCACTCCGTCATTTATCCTTTACACGATTAAATGATCGAATATTTCGGAGGTATATTTTTGTTATGCCAAAATCACACCGCTTAAAGCTCGCTCGCGCGATTGATGCCCTCTCTCCTTCTCGTAAACATTTATCGTATATTATATTCTCTGCGTTATGTTATCTTGCTATTTTTCACCAGCACGAGAGTAGGATGTGCTTTAAAAAATTGTCCTTTCGCGCGACAAGACGCAAACTATAATTCTGGAGGTTTTCGAACGTGAATCTCTCTCTTTCTCTCTCTCCTCGATTCAGCCTCTCTGTTCATTCCGTGACTCTGTTATTCTCTTTGGTATGTAAGTATGTATCATCAAGATTTTTTTGACCGGTATATGTAATCGTACTTCTCTTGTAGGAGATTGTTACAATGGTGATAAAAATCCTTTAACGCTAGAAAAACCGTGTGACGGCCATTTTAACCGGTCGATGAATATCAAATCGATAATCCCGCTTTTACATCCCTTCGGCCTTGTATCTATCATACCTCTAACTTCTCGATAATCAGCAGTAATCTCGTAAAACCGCCGTGAGTGGAGGGTTCCTTATCTAGGAAGGCTGCTGTGATATATAGATACAGAAATGTGTGCCGATCCTTCTAGTGTGTAAATATATATCTTAATTCTACGTTACATGTTCGTCGTACACACACTCGCACACAGATTCACAGGTTTTCATATCCCCCATTATATTTTTATGTAATACCGTAGAATAATACTCTTTACACATACATGCGCGCATTTACAAATCTCGCAATTACCGCGCTCGCTAATCAGTCTAAAGATAGAAATCTTACATCAAATCCCAACTATATTCCGCTCCTCGCAAACGTGAGATGGAGATTGAATAAAATAGTTTTAAAAGTGTAAGAAGATGCATTTAGGATGTATGCGTGACAGGAAGGAAATATTTTTAACCCTTTAACATTTTCGGAGTGTCCGAGCTTCAAGAGCTTTTTCCTTAATTTTATTTTTGTTTGAATTTAATCCTCTTGACAGCTCTGTTTTCATACAAGTATATAAATTTTAAAACTTATTCTACAAAAAAAGCTTAAAATGTAAGAATAACTTTAAAATACTAGAAAAATATCTTTGAGAGAATTTTCTTTAATTTAATTAAAATTAAATTAAATTAAATAAAAAAATATAAAGTAACTTAAATTAAATTAAAAATTCCAGCGCATTAAAGAGTTAATAAACATTATCCGAGGTGAATTGATGAAAACGATAGCGGACAAATTCTCGCAAATATCTCGGTTGTGTTCCCTTTTTCGCATTATCGGTACTCGTACCTCCTCTTCTCTAATCGGGTAGAAAATATAATAGTTGTTCCGGCTTTTCGGATATTCGCGCGCGATTATCGCGTTCTCGCGGGAAAAAGTTCAAGACCGCAAATTCATACAACATCATATTCCGCGATACACAACTTTTATTAGTATACATATACGTAACGCAACTTTGTGGTCTGTCCATGTATGTGCCACTTTTCCAGCCAACCGCGAATTCCAATATCGGTCATCTCTCTCGCGCGCTTCTTCTCTTTTCTTATTTTTTAATTAATTAAATACAGGAATGCACACAGTCGCAACTTTTCTAGCAATGCGCTCGACGAATCTATCCCGATGTTACGGAGATAAAACGGATAAAACGAAACTTTTGGCACTTTTTCTATTGCTTCTTGTACATTACAGAATCGCAGTGAGCCCTAGTAATCGCTACAATATAATGCCGTGAGCGATGCGATCGGAGACACGATGAAAAACTTCGCCTTTGGGGATTCTTTAGCGAGCCGTATACATATATTATTATTCGCTTTACAAAATGTTAACCCTTAACGGTCTGCGTTATTTCTATACGAAATCTTTCGCATTCTCTCTTTTCTTATTCAAAGTAGCGAGATATTAGGTCCTTTTATCGCGCGTATACTATTTACATTTTCCTTTACTTTGGCGCCTCCTTTCTTCGTCTCGCTCAAAAATTACTTCCGTTTCAGATGCATCGATCGAAAATGCGACGAGTGTTAAATGGACCGTTAAGGATCAAGAGTACTCGATACAAAATAGTAACCGCTAACATCGTCAAACTACGATCGTATAAACGACAGGATCTTTTACGAATACACAGGATGAAATGACACGGATACGCACATTCTTCCAGTCTACCGATCACGAGTAGTAGAGAGACATTCAAGATCTATGTATATCTGTATGCGCTCTCTTCTCTAAGGGCTGAGTTGCATGCTATTGTTATGAGTATGCGCTACGAAAATGTAAATTGTATACCCGATTATGCACTTTTGAGAAAATAATCTCGATTTCACAGATTCGAGTTCTTCAGCACACATTCGCACTTACAATTATATATTTAACAATATTTCTTTGACATAAGAGAGCTGGAGTCCTAAATAAATGCACGCGTCCTCCCTCGGGAACTGATTCACATCTCCGCGTGTATACAGTGCTCTCGATGAGACGCAGAAACATTATTATTTCCGTCGTAACCGTGTAATCTCCTAATCAGTTTCGCTTATTACGATTCCTTCGCGTCGCTTTATGCAAAAAAGTGAAATTGTTAAGAATATCTTCGGATAAAATGTATCCCGCGTATTCACGGAAATGCGTGCACTTCTAAACTGTAGGGAATACAACGATTATCAAATAGCTCAATACATTACACTTATAATCTACTGCTCGATCCGCTATCCGTGATACATTCTCTCGAATCAGCTGATACGCAAATATCTGCAACATACCCAATTGTTGCAAATATACATTCGCGAAACAAAGACCGTAAAGGTATTAAGTACCTCCGTTGGGATTATACATTAAAAGCTATTCTTTCTCATCGCGCACCATCCAACATTCGTTATAATCAAAATCAGAATCGTGTTACAAAGCCGTCTTTATAAAGAATCGATGGCTTTAAGAGAGCATTATCGTCGCATATATCGTTTTGTGCGCAGACAGGCGTTCATTTATGGTAGATCTTATGTCTTTATAAATGTCTTTGTAAATGTCAGATAATATATATATGTATAAATATATATATATATATATATATATAAAAGGTCAACAGAGAATATAAAAATCTTTTTACAATTAAAGATCTTTAGAGTCAAGTTATAACAAGTAATATAATAGGGTTGACGACGAGATACATTCTACGTTTGATGAAACTAAAGCAAGCAGATCTTTGGTATCGTGTCAAGATAAGATCGTTGGGAAGAAGCAAGATTGAGAGAGGTATTTCACGATTACCTGAGGGATTCTACGATATTTCCAGTCGAAAGATTTGACGGATTAAATGCGAGATGCGAAAAAATGGTACCTCGGGGGATATTCTTTCGCGTCTTCTTTGCACGCGAAGATTCATTTCGAAAAATTATTCGAAGTAGAAAGTAAGCTATGGGGAATATTCTTTCATTCACCAACGCAGTTGTGTTGGTTCGCGATAAACTATTGGAATAATTTTCTTCAATTCAAGAAAACTCTTTCGTTCAAATTCCTTCGCGTATCACTTTCGCGAAATTAATAATCAACATAAATATTACATATTACGAATAATCCAAACATTTAAAACTTTATTTTAAAAAAAAATTTATAAATTGACCGATGAAAAATTTGCAAAGTAAGAACGAGAGCGGCGAAAATACAAATTGCAAGTAGGTAATGGAAATTGACAATATATCTCTGTGACATAGAATATTCCGATATTTTGAAAAGCTAACGAGTCTTTATATTAGATGTTCCTCTGTGAAATTATCCTCTGGAGCAGAACTCGTGACCTGTATTCGCAACTATACTTATCATATTGATCAGTACTTTAAAAGTAGTATTAATACGTAGTAAAAATATCAGGAGTATTAACATTCTAATAATAAGGATATCAAGAGCCATGCCTCCGTAATTTAAACGTAATTTAAAAGTAAAATCTATAGACACACGACATTTTCTCCTCGCGACGAAACGAATCGAATCCGCGAGTGACGGAGTTGAAAACAAAAAGTTATAAAGATAGAATAAATTTTTTTGATATGATTCACAACTTTGGCATAAATGTGTAAAGCGTATTGTAATCGCTATCACACGCGTACAACAATCCATACCCTGTAACCCATAATTTAAGTAAAAAAGGATCCAGGATCTTGATAAGGCATAGACATAAGGCTTACGATAAATGAGCGTACTCGCACACGACGCATACTTCCCGTACGTCACAACAATAGGATGCTACTAAAAATGAAGTATCTTAATTAAGTAATCAGGTCGAGTCGATTAATACGATTTATATTGCATTATCGACACGCAACATTTGTTTTACGCAGACACTTACCATACAATTTATTTATATACCGCCAATGATGTAGAGACCGCGAGGCCTTTAATACATCTACTCAACCTTTTCTCTCGCGAAAGGTCAGAGCTATTTTCTATAACCGTGAATTTAGTTAAAACGCGTAGAGAATTCATCGACAAGGATGTTTTTATATACGTTAAGTTCTATATCAACAGAATCGCGATTAAATTTCGCATATCACCTTCCATTTGGATTTTGCGTTACACGAGAATTTTCAGCTGTGTCAACGCTAGACATTTTCTAACAGAGAATTAAATTTATTATTATATATATGTATATATATATATATATATATAAATAATATAATATAATAAGGATTGTAATAATATATTGAAAGTATGATTTTTAATAAATTTGAAATTAATGTCTTTTTATCAGAATATACAATATATATTATACATATATCAACTATTATAAATAATAATATAATTTCTAATCTGTCGCGAGATATATTTATCTCTTTCTCTTGTTTATCATGTTGCCATGATAAATAGTCTTCAATCATTAGAGTCATCATTTATTTAAACAATACGCGTACTTAACACTCTCGCGCGAGAACAACGCCATTATAGATGAGAAAAATTGCACATCAAATCGCGCATTTGTCTCATTCTTTCGACGCGGTAGAAATGTTCGATTTTGTTCGTCTCCCGTTCCTATGAATTCGCCGTAATTGACTGTCAAACGCGTGTTTCACATCTTCAATCCCGTTACTTAACTCATTACATTGTAACACATCCTCTGCGAAATATTTTTTTCTTTTTCTTTTTTGGCACGAAGAAAATAAATAACTATCTATCTTGTTCCACGAGTGTGAACTGTATATAGGCCGTGCGATCTTATTCCTCGATCTTATTTAGAGATATTACTTTATGTATATAGGATACGTTTCCCTCGGAAGTGAGTTAGCGAAAGTGGCTACGCTAAAAAATAGATTCGCGTGTCCCTATATATTGTCTATTCGAACTACGTAACTGTCGGTCTTCGATAGAATAAGATGATTTATACGAACACGGGAGACAATTATACGCGAGACGGTTGTACTTTCAACGAGTTCCTGATGAGAGATGCCGACGAGTGTTGCTGAAGAATGAGAGCGCAAAATAACCGTAACAAATATTCTGTCTTCTAATTGTAAGCAGAGTACTTTGTACTTACTCCCTGTGTATATATGTACGTCTATTTATAATATTTGCCGTCATTAAGAAATGTCAAAGGATCGTTAAACATATTTGTCGCTTCTACTGTAACTGTAAATATAGATACGCTACATAATTTTGGTTTCGGTTAACGCGCCGCGTTCTTGGGATCCTCCGTTATACGCGAGAAAGAATCTCGGGCGAACCCCGTTGACGGCGCGAGATGAAGAAATTAGCTAACAAGAGTAAGAATTATATCTTATATTTCTTTATCTCTCTTCTTTTCGACGCGTATTTTCTTCACGTGTATCTCTTACATCGTAGACTAATTTTATACTGACTAGAGGCATTGATACGTTTTAATTTGGCATAAAGCGTACAATTGAAATTCAAGGGAATAACGTATTTCGTTCTAAGAGACGAAGTTTTACTACATAAAATATGGAACAAAGCGGAATTTTTATCTCTCTTTCTCTCTCTCTTTCTCCGGAAATATTATGGAGTGTAACATATAGACGCTGCCGCATCTTCTTTATAGAAGAATTCTTACACGATATATTTTCCCGTGACAGGTCTTCTCTCCGTCAATTTTTCCAATTTAACGTTAACGTCCCGATCGCGTTTTATAAATTATCGTCGTAATTCAAAACAAAAAATTAACAACTTCGTCAGATCATAAATGACGATAGTGTTTAACAATGTACTATCCATCTCTGTCGCTATATCTACAATCCTATAGAAAAGGAATAAATCCTAAAATCGCTGATCACTACGTGAAAATATCTACAGTGCTGTAGAAAGTTTGTACAGTGTTACAATATCGCGATGTGATATAACGGGCGTGTAAAATAATATAATTTTCAAACTAACATATTATATTATATCGCTGTAATACCGATATCGTGTAAATGACAATTGTATGTCAAGTAACGTAACGAAAATAGTATCGGAGTGCATTAATGTAAGTGCAATATAGCGCAACACATATACATATATACTTTCTCTAATAATATTTTTACTACGTTATATATATAATATATATTAGTGAAAAGTTTGCAACGAATATATATTCGTGTCTAAAAATCGTTTATGATTTCATTCAATGCCTAATATAATCCTACGCAGATCCTACACGGGTCTTGTCAGTCGCATCTCTATAAGAAAAAATATAACTCTTGTAGTCTAAAAGAAAATTAGGCTCTCTGTAAACGAGGCTCTTTTTGCGTTGTTTTTAATCGTGTAAAAAAATGCAAAAGATAAAAGCATGGATAAAAGATAAAATAGAAAGAATGAAGAAAGCGATATATACCAAATTGGATAGAATTAAGAGAAAAATTTTACCCTTGATGAACGTCGCCGTCAAGATGAATAACTTCCGCTACAGTGCATGCAACCGATTGCAGAAGGAGGTGGGAAAAACGGCGAGTCTCTCTCTAGTTTAACGCGCATCTCCGTTACATATAAAACACTCGTCAAAATCACTCGAGGCGTAGCGATGCGATATGAGCCTCTCAGAGAAAAAGAACTAATCAACTCTATTCTTCATAAATTTTTTAATTTTAATAGCAGAATTTTAGCGCTAGTCACACACGCGTACTCTGGTACTAAAATTAAGAAATTTACAAAAAGTGGGATCGATCAGTTTGGCTTCTAAAAGATTCTTCATATAATACTTCTTAGGCGACGCAAACGTATCCGCAAGGATATCGCAACGATTCTCTAAATCTCCGCGAAATTTTTCAGACATCCTTCATCGGACGCACATTCACAATTTCCATATTCCATCGTCGTTTGTCTTCAAACGTTCATGGCGTAGTACACCGTGTTCGCAGTATTGTTCGGGGTGGATATAAGACCGGCGTTGGGATCGACGTAAGAGTTGGACATCAGCAGGACATGCGGCGTCGAGTTCGCCGAGCTGGACGATTGTTGAAAGTCCCGGGTGGGCAGGCTGGCGGCGCCTTCGGGGACACCGCGTTCCGTTACCGCGCACGTGTTGACGGTCCGTGGCAGTTGCATCGGCGTCATCGAGGATACGGCTGTCGTCGTCGTCGACGTCGAACACACGAGCGGAGCGACATTGACTGTCGCTGATTGCGCGCCGTTGTAAGACGCTCCCAAGATCGGTTGTTCGCAGCTCTTGTTGCTGATCCCGGTGCATTTGAGGGGAGCGATGGTGGCCGAAGCGGTAGACGAGGACGATGACAACGCAGACGCCGAGGACGACGACGAGGACGAGGAGGAGGACGACGACGAGGACGAGGATGAGGAGGATGAATACGATGAGGCGGCCGAGACGGTGATCGTCTGCGTTTGCACGTCCGCCGCGGCGCCGGCGACAGCGTTACCGCGTGCCAGATGCGCCGGATACAACGGGTAGCCGTCCTGATTACTCGCCGGAATACATCTCGAGGGCGCGATTACCGTATACGAAGGTGGCGACTGCTGCGTCATTATCCGATACGATGCCATCTCGCCGCCGTGAAGATGCTGATGTTGATGCTGATGATGATGGAACTGCATGGGATGATGCACCGCCGAGTGCGGCACGGGGGAGAACGCCATGTTGGGCGATCGAAAGGCTTCCTCGGTCTGCGGGTGCGGGTGTATATGTAGGTGCAAGGCTTGTTGGCTGCCCTGCAGGGAGTTCGGACTCGAGACGGACGCGAGCGGCGGTGGTGGCGGGGGAGGGGGAGGTACGGGCGGGGATGTATTCAAATTGGAATGCGACGTGGCGGAACGATTCGCGTTGTAGTACAACGTCTGTTGTTGCTGACTCGTCTTATTCAGACGGGGATATGGGTATCGTTCGATGTGACTGGCGTAGTTTGGCGAGGAATGCGGTGGCAGGATGCGCTGTAAGTTCTGATACGTGGGATCCGATATGCCGCTGTACGGCACGAAGTACATGGTGCGATAACACTTGGTGGTGTTGGGTACGGCACCGCCGGGCAGTACGTTGCAGTGATAATTTGCAATCGTTACCGGTGGGTTGCGGCGTTGCATCTTTGAGAGGGTATTGGTATATATCGCGCCCGCAACATCGTCGCCACCGCCCGCGATACGCAACATGCGCGTGTTGGAAAGCTGCTGCTGCTGCTGCTGCTGTTGCTGCTCCTGGAAATAGTGATGACCGTTCCTGTGCTCGGCGTACAGATGCGCGGCGCCGTCACCGGACGGTGTCCTGACGACAAACTGCCGCGGTACCGCGTTCTCCAGATAGGTCGCGTGCTCGGAGACACCCTGAATGTTGGCCGTGACCGCCGTGCTTTCGGCGATAGTCTGATATATGTCGTCGATCTGTCTCTGCATCGTGTTTATTCGATTGATCGTATTTGTGTCTCGCTCGAAGCTTCCTATCGCGGCATACGCGTCAACGGATATGGGAATCGTCTCGTCTCCATCGGCGGCCAACAGCGACTTGGCGTCGATCTTGTCGCCGTTCACGTCGCAGTACATTGGCAAGTACATTGAGCTCGGTCTCGCGTCGTTGAAGTTGTTGGCCGCACCAACACAAGATCGCGGTCGATGGGCAACGTCGTTGGTAGCTTCGTACTGCTGTTTGATGCCCGTCACCGATGGTCGCCGATTGAAACCGTAATCGTTGAGCTCGTCGTCGTCGTCGTCCTCTTGCTCGTTGTCCGCCTGAGCGTCGTGGTTCTTGACGCCTTTGCCGTCATAATTCTCGTTGGACGATGTATTCACGGCTTTGTCCTCGGAATGATAGCCGTTAATGAACGCGTAACGGTCCTCCGTCTCGTTATAGCGGCGTTTTATCCGCTCCATCCTCGACTTATCCTGCTCGACAAACGCGAGCAGCTCATCAGTGGCGTTGTCGCCAATATCAGGTCTGCTGCCTATCGGTGTGCATCTCGTCACATCCGGTTGACCGGCGTACTTTCTATCCTCGCCGTTCAAAACCGCCTCTATGTCCTCCAAACTGTACGACGAGTCCGAGTTATAGTTTATCGACTCGCGATTCGCCAGTATCCTGGACTCGTTTCGATAATAATCGTCCTGATTATCAGAGTTGTTGACGGCGACGCAAGAAAGCGGCGCCAGACTTGCCAACAACTGCTTTCGCACGTCCGAGTTCATCTTTGTCAATGGATTCTTGGATTGACATTCTTTGGCGAGGAGATTCCTACCGCCGATCCCGAGATCGGGCAAATTCGGCTGGATGTTCTTCTTGTGCGCAAACAGATCCGTGATCTTCCGGTAGGTGGACGATTGGGGATTCGGCGGGTTGTCCGTCACCAGCATCGGCATT